AAAGGAAATATATAAAAAATCCTGAATTTCCACTAGTGTAACACACATGACAAATTTTGTCTTAGCATGTCATCATCCCTATTTTATCCATCACCCTTCGAAAATGTATAAAATTAAATGTAAAATGCTCTCTAAAAAAATCTTTATTGCTCAAACAGACTATAATTTTTTAGCCTTCAATTTTGTTTTGTTACTGAGCTATCAAAGAGAAAATCAGACCCCTCCTGCCACTTCCTCTCTTTCACAATTGGTTGATAGTTCTCTCTTATGTTTCATTATATATTACCTATAACCAATAGAAAGTCAAGGTTTTCATCTATCAAATGGCATATTGTATAACATTGTGTTTTGAACAGATAACCATCAATGTCACTCTGAGTAGCAACATTGTTCTTGTGGGAAAGTTAAGGACTAGCTTGGATGAATTTCTAACGGCTCTTGTCGCATAGTTAGAAAGCGAGGAAAATTTGGAGAGGTAAGTGAATTTGTCTACTTTTTGCATGTTATTAGTCTATATTCTTTGATGTATTATTTAATTAAATAAAAATTATTAAGTGCTTTACTATAATCAGTAAAAAAAATCAGGCTTAACTCTCATCGACAATCGAGGGCAAGAAAAAAGAAGACTGGGTAAGTACTTTATTTCTCGTTTTTCATATTTATTCTTTATTTATTATTATAAAAAAAACTAAAATTAAAAGTATGGATCTTTTTAAGTTATTTAAGACTAAAATAGGTAAAATAAGTAATAATAATGATGTAATTAAAATTGTTCATGAAGCATGCACATGAGCAGCTCGTAGGGTAATGTAATTCAATAACATAATGTGAACTGCACGTTCCCCGAGTGATTTACAACTTATAATGGCACAGATAGCAGTTAGACACAGTTCAAAAGGCAATAAAACAATAAAATTTAATTATAAATAGATGTATAATGTTATGAATTTAGAGCTACTTAGGATAAACGAATGTAGTTTCATGTTAAAATTTGAAGTCATACTAGAAAGAAAAGAAGGGTCTGTACTAACAAATTGATCAAAATGTTACACTTACAAAGAGTGCTAGGATAAGAAATTAGTAAGTTTATCAAACCAACAAAAATAGACACACTCTG